ATATGTGATGTGAAGAGGAAGAGAAAAAGAAGAAGAAGGGGGGAGGGTTGCTCAGATGCGCACCAGGCGCCCATGCAAATCGGCTACGGTGTCCTGCTGCACCGCACCCTTTTATACTCACAATGGAGGTTGCAATAATAAAGTACCACAACAAGAGTGAATAGGAATCAGCCGTGTTGGCATCGTTTCTGTTAGAATATAATATTTAATTAACATATACTGCGTGCAATTTAAGTAAAGTAAAATATTTTTATTGATTAAATAGTAGAAAAAAACTGATTAACTTACTGCAAAAACGAGGATGGTGCATTGAAGTGTTTACCTCGGCACCGATCAATTCCCTATGCTTCCTTTAATCCGCGAGTGTTTATCCCACACTCGTCCCTTGGTTACACAGTTGTCATTCAGCATTTTATAATGCGGAGTGTTTTAAGTATTTAAACTGACTCAGTCGGTAGTTTCTCACTCTTAATGGGGAGCAATTTTAAAATTACTCTTCAATGGTAAGAATACCTCCCGTACGTCCGAAAAAGAAAAAAGACAATTTAATATATATCAGAAAAGAATGATTTGCCTGCTTAATAAAATGAAAAAAAGGAAAGCAATTCCAATGAAAAAAGATCCGAGTAAGTTTATAGCGCACCTTCCTTAATTTTATCGATCAACAGTCAAGATTCCCTTAATCCACGGGTGTTATCCCACACTCGTCCCTTAGTTACACAGTTGTCATTCAGCATTTTATAATGCGGAGTGTATACATTTTTAAACCAACATTTTCAGTAGTATCCCCACTTCTAATCAACTATTTATAAATTACAAGCAAATGGAAAAGAATACCTCCCGTAAGTGTTTTTTTTAAAGAAGTCAATTTAAATATATATAAGAAAAGAATGATTTGTCTGCTAAATGAAATAAAAAAGAAGGAAAACAATTCCAATGAAAAAAATGATCGGAAGTCACCTTATGGTGCACCTGCCTCAATTCTACCGTTCTACATCCTTGTCTGGTAAATGTTTCCTGCGGCTTACACTATTTATGCCATTGCTGACACTTATAAATCAGAAGGACAATAATAGTTACCGTCTCCGCCACAACCGTGAAAGGAAACTGAAAGTCGCCTTTAGTTGTACCGGACGAGGCTCTGTTGTTTTCGTCGTTATATCGTGCTCATTGTCAGGGTGAAGGGATTTCGGGCACACCTCCTCGTATGGCGCACACTCGATCGCGCCAGAGTTAAACTCTGTACTGTACTCCGAAAGCACAAGGGTACTTCCGGGTGGGCAGTCCACGAATTCACTGGTACCCTTCACTCGCACCCGGTAGCTCGAGGTGTCCTTGTCGCACTGCACATCTGCACAGATAGCAAGCATATTTTGGTCATCGCTTATACTGAGGGGAGTGCTCTGGACAGCCGAAAAACATCGCGCTGATTCGGAAAACACAGAACCGGGCAGCGTTACTGCATTTCCATTTAAGCACATTGTGTCAGTAAATTGATCGATATATGGACAGTAATCCATCATAACATCTGTCCCACCCATTGTCGGATCGGGGAAGTACTGAAAATATTGTGGTAAGGTAGAATGATATACTATCGTACAGTTTCCGATCCCCATCCGGTCTGATGTGCACTTGAGCTCACTGTTTGAATCAATTTTACTGTCACAAAACATCTCCGGCACCTGCGACACACCGTTGATAACGCACTTCTTATCAAACAGCACGCAACCGGCATTCTTACCCCATACCATGTTTTCAGCATTGCGGTAGTTGCCTTTGTAGAAGCCCGTGTCCTCCATCGCTGCAATGGTGATGGCGGTGTAGAAAGATGAACCTGTAAAAGGAGACATCAAGTCATCCTTTCCGTTGCGCATCGTCCAGTGTGAGCTTACAGACCCCTCACCATCCATATCATCTAATTCCATGTACTGCATGGTACTGCACCCGTAATGCGCCCTCGCGACTTCCACAACTTTGGGGGACTTCAAAACATAACTTGGTGGCTTACCGCGAACAGACACAGTATCAAGCATATTTCTTTTCTCAAAAATATGATAATCAAATCCTAATGCGTGCAGTATCTCATGCGTGAAGGTATGTATGGTAAAGTGAATGTCCATAGTGTTTATAGAACCAATATTAGAACCACCCACAATGGGGCGGCCGCTGCGGTCAAACTGCCACGGAAGTGCCCACGCGACAGTACCAAGTTCAGTTGGTCCTGCCGAAACGTACAACACGAAGTCGGTATCCGGCACACCGGTGGTGTGGTGGGACCGGGGAACCGTAAACGGAAAAACGAGTTTTCCCCTGAAGTGATTAGCACGGATGTTGTATCTGAGCGGTTGCACCAGCAGCCGGTCCTTGTGCATCTGCACCGCCTTGGGGATTATCACCTCACGCAGCAGTTGCTTCTTTTCATCGGTGAGAAGGTTATCAAAATCACATTTTATCATGGAGCCTGTAAAGTCAGGCTTCATCTCCCCGGGCTGTGTGCAGTAGCGAGAGCTGTCGTCGAGATCCTCGGTGAACACCGAGATGCGGATCCG